AATTTCACAAGCAGTGGTACAGCTCCAACATGTGGGTGTTTTACGCTGAACTATGAAATACAGAATAAATAAAAATGAAGACATGTTCCATGGTGGTGATATGGGCGGAGGCTAGCGAGGGGCAGTTCCCCCTTCGGCGAGCACTTCCTTTTCACTCTCTTGAAGGGGGCAACACTGACCAAAGCTCAATGGTGGGTCTTACTCCGCCCACATGAACACATGACATGCATAATTTAATCCTTTATTCTTCATTTAGGAAATTTGGTCTTATCTTTAGCTTTCATCATCTTTTCTCTTTTCAGTATGTCGTTATGTATTGTTGACACTCGAAACCACTGGACGCCATGGAGTCGACCTTGGGAGATTTGGACTTTGGAGCGATTCCAAACAAGGGTGTGGAACGGAAAGAGTGGTTGGAAAGTCCATACGGCAAGGAGCAACTGCGTAAACGTATTGAGGTGAGCAAACTCGAACAAACTTCATTCCTATTGTTTATATGCGAGACTTTTCTAGCATGTCGCCGTATTACCACTTGCTGCAGTCCTTTAGTGATAAATAAAGCACTCGGACGCTGTGTGGCCGGGAGGGGCATTTTGCGCTTTCGTCAGTTCCTTTGGTTGGTTTTATGTTATCCAATGAGTCTCACCGGAAAGGGACCAGTAAACTACTGTGAGGCTGCGAAACTGTTCGAGTGAGCGACATTAGTCACTTACTTTCTGGTCCTTATAAGGTGACTTGTACAAAATCAGCTGAGTACCATTCAATACCGTCATTGAACCGAGCAGCGCCCATTCATTTTCTACTCTTCATATATTTCAGTTTCTACTATTCATTCTTTTTTTCTATTGTAGATTTGTTTACCACAACATGATTTTACGAGGCAGTCAATATACATGTTACGTACACAAGCGGGTAAATTAGTGGCAAAAATCACATTCGGAGGTAACAGTTCCGTGCTGATCGTATGTAGAGTTAATGCGTGGGACGAACCCATCCATCACTCTTCAGTCTCGAAAGCAGGTGGCACGTTAATAAGATACTCTGCAGGGGTGCTGTTGTCCGGAAAGTTCTCAGCGTTTTGAGTGTTTCACTTTAAAGGATCATAACTTTTTAATACTCATCGGATTCAGTCGAAATAAGCACCTCTCGAATCAGCACACTTTTGGCCAATGTGACACCGGTCGAAAAATCCCATAAGGGAAAACTGGGTGGTCCAGAATTCACGAAATCCACGAAGGCTTTTTTGCCTGGTCCTGTTTGATGAAGTATTTCCCAGCAAGGAAGTTCTGAAAATGTTTGAAAAGGTGATAGTCGGTTGGTGAAAGGTCTGGAGAATATGGCGGTTGAGGTAGAACTTCAACCCCCAATTCGTTCAATTTATGGATAGTGATTTGTGAAACGTGTGGGCGGGGCGTTGTCATACAAAAGAGTCGGAGCCTTTCTGTTGACAAGTGCTGGCTGCAGCTGACGCAATTTTCGGTACATTTCGTCGATTTCTTCACAGTAGGACTCTGCTGTGATGGTTTGGCCTGGTGACAAGTTATAGTGGATCACAGCCGCGATGACCAGCCACACTATGACATAAGGCTGCGTTTATACTTTGCGGCAGCGTAGCGTAGCGCTTCCAGCGTACGCCAGCGGCAGTGCCGAAGAGAGGATGCATATCGATCTAGCTTCACCAGCGTCACCAGCGGCACGCTAGCGCACGCTGGCGTAGCGAGGGCACGGGAAGCATAGCTATCGATCTAGCTTCACCAGCGTTTCTCGAGCGTTTCTCCAGCGGCACCAGCGTTTTGCTAGCGCTTGCAGCGGCAGGGAGTAGAGACTATGTGGCCGTGAGAGACGCGGAATCGACGTGTATTGTAGAGACCATGTGGCCGTCGGAGACGCAGAAGCGATGTGCATTGTAGAGACTATGTGGCCGTCGGAGACGCAGAAGCGATGTGCATTGTAGAGACTAAGGGCGAGTGAGAGACGCGCAATCGATGTGTTTTGTACCCTCCAGCTCTCCCATAGTCTCTACTCCCCTGCCGCTGCAAACGCTAGCAAAACGCTGGTGAAACGCTGGAGAAACGCTGGCGTACGCTAGCGGCACGCTAGCGTACGCCAGCGTGCCGCTGGTGACGCTGGTGAAGCTAGATCGATATGCATCCTCTCTTCGGCACTGCCGCTGGCGTACGCTGGAAGCGCTACGCTACGCTGCCGCAAAGTATAAACCGCCTAACCCTTTTTGGCGAGGGTTCGCTTGGAAAGTGCCTCGTGTTCGGTTTCGGCATCCAACTACAGCCCGGAGCGTCTCCTGCTATCATACATGATCCACTTTTCATCACAGGTGACAATTCCGTCCAAAAACGGGTCGTTTTTGTTGCGCAAAAGCAGTGAATAAGAAACCTCGAGACGTGCCAATTCTCTGCAGGTCACTCAAATTGTGGGGCACCCACTTGTCGAATTTTTTCACCTTCCCAATGCATTTCAGACCATCCGCAACAGTGGATTTGCCTACGGCTAGCTTTTCCGCAATCATTCGAACTGTTTGGGATGGCTTCAGCCTCACACAAGACTAATCCCTCGTCAGCGTATTCGCTTCAGGTTGACCGCTATGAGTCAATCTTCAAGGTCTGAAATATCGCCAAACGAAATCAGCCGAACCATGCTGCACGGGTGCTTTCTCTAACACTATTGGGCCCCACACCTGGTTAATTTGTTGAGCTGTCTCGACTCAGGGCACAGCATTCGATGGGGATTTTGGTCGAGCTTTTACGACCCCCCCCCCTTTTTCAGGGGCTGGTACGACCCCCCCCATGCTCGTACGATGGCTGACATGGCTGACTGTGGTTGTGGTTTATACTCGGCGAAAAAGTTGTCGAGCGGGGGGTATGTAGTAGGCATGCGACGTACATCGTACGGGCGTACATAGCGCTGTCAAACCGTTCTACGTAACGCGCGACTTATATTCGTCTCCAATTGAGAACGCAGAGACATAGAAATATGAACCTGTGGACAAGCTTTAGGAAGGACAACCCTATCCTACAACTAATGGTTCCCCTATCATACTTATTGTCAGACTAACCTCGCTTTCTGCTGTGTCGTAGTTTCATTTTCACTACATCAATTTATCATGAATTTGCAGAGAGGCGGAGTTACGGCACTCCACGGCGAGACACGGGAACGAGGCAGTGCTTCACTTATTTGCCACAGCTTTTCGCAGTAGTGACACCTGCACTTACGACCCCATCCCATGTACTACCCGCATGCAACATACGACCCCTTCGTCGCGCGTTC